AATATGTTGTCGTTAGGTGCCGTTGAGTAGGTTCTGACTCATAGCGACCCTATGTACAACAGAACAAAACACTGCCCCATCCTGCGCCATCATCACAATCATTGTTATGCTTGAGCCCATTGTTACAGCCACTGTGTCAATCCATCTCATTGAGGGTCTTCCTCTTTTTTGCTGACCCTCCACTTTACCAAGCATGATATCCTTCTCCAGGGACTTGTCCTTCCTGATAACATGTCCAAAGCTAAGGAGAATTCTGGCTGTACTTTATATAGGCATATTCAGTTCTTGAAGTCTGCTTTTCCCTAAACTTCCCTGTTAAGCAGATGATTCGAGATCCTCAAGTTTCTTTAAAGTCTTTGATATTTTTTCAGAGGTCCAGCTTAGAATGCACCACTTGGAGTGGACTCATTATTTTTTGAAACTATAATAGGAAACCATGAAGAAGAGCAAGCAGGACTCACTGCGATTGAGCTTGCAACATCTGATGATTCCTGAAATGCAAGTTACCCACTCGAGACAGGTGGATGCCTTAATGGGACCAGTGCTCTTGTCAATCATTCAAGACTGTCTTAAAGTCATTGTGGGGACTCAAAACGATTTCTTAAACCTCTCCAACTTCCTCAGGTGTGTGTATATAGTTGTTGTTGTTTTATGTCTTATTGCTATGGCAGAATCGACTTGACAGCAACAGGTTTGTTTTTTTAGGTTTTTTTTTTTTTTTTTTTTTGCTATGGTGAGGAAGTCAATCACTAAAAGGAAAAACAGAACCCTGCAGAAGCAAGGGGACTGAGGAAGCATCACCCTCCTCAGCCAGGCCCTCCTACTCATTCTGCTCGAGTAGCACCTCTCCCTCAGTCAGCCTGCTTCCAGGTCTTTAGCAATGGACTTCTGCCCTCCTGCTCTTACTCAGCTCCATGAACCAATACTCCATATTTCCTCCCCTGTTCCTCACCCCATGGTTCTCTGAACATCACACTGGTCTCTGAACACTGCCAACCATACATATAATCTCTATCTTAGCTCTCTTTTTGGTGAGGAGAGAGACCTATTCACCACTCATTTTACCTCATAACTGGGGTGCATATACAGGAATTTGAGACCAGTGCAAAGAAAATATCATTACGTTAGCAAAAAGAACTCACCCTTTAGTGTCTAGTTAGTAAGGACACCTGAAAAAGATGGTTTATGGGACTTAAACTGTATCAGAAAATACATTTTACTTAGAAGTTATGCCTATGACTGTTGTTGTTAGGTGCTGCCGAGTAGATTTCAACTCACAGCAACTCCATATGACAGAGCAGAACTGTCCCATAGGGTTTTGTAGGATTAGTCATTATTAAAGTTCTATTGTAAAGAAACCTGAGACACTCCTCCCTTTCCTCACCTCATTTCCCAAGTACGAAATTGTCCTTTCTCCTAACCTTTCACTCCTCTTAGTTTGGATCACAGCATTGTACAGCACAGAACAGATATGATTTTCCCAAACACTCAGACGAGGCAATAAAAGATCATATTTTGGAAAATGAGAGGCCAGTCACACTGAAGTCTGTCTCATAGTCACTGTCTCAAGAGTAGGGTAATTATTAGGAAGACTGAAATGGATCCTTGGAGAGGTACTGTCTTGAGAGGCAGGAAATGAGAGGGCACGGGAAACATGAAATGTGTGCTTTTGAGCCGATATATTAGCAAATCTCTGACCACAAAGGTTCAGCTGCTGCCAAGTTGGAGTGAGCAATGCGGGAAGGAACAGCAGCCTAGATTACTGATTGACAAAAGTTTCCAGGGCAGAGTGGTAGAATTATTTAAAGGCACCTCAAGTGGAATTTGATTGCACAGCCTCCTGAAGTGCCAGCAAGCATGATTCACACTTCCTGGCGGTCAGAACGGTTGCAGGGCTGACCACTAATCTGTGGTCTCAGAGGCTTTAATGTTTCTGAATTCAAATCAGCACAGCCTGGTGAGTTGGAAGCTCCTACAACTGATGAGTCCTGTAATTAAAGACCCATATCAACTTTGAGCAGCCACTTCAGGTCTGCCTGCATCTTGTGCTCAATTTACTTTTTCACTTGAGGTGAAAAATCTAATTATATGAACAACAAATAGTGTTATTCTTTTCCCTCTTGGCAGAAGCCCGGTGTTAAGTGTCACCAATTATTTAGCTAATCATAACTCTATGCATGGCACTGCTAATCCCTTAACAGTAGCATCTATTCTGGGTCAAGGAGTTCACTCTCCCTTCGTTGCTAATGAATTTCTTTTCTTGGATTCATCAGGTATGACCTCAGCAGCACATCAAGGGGCTACATTAGCGTCAAAATTGCCACCTGATAGACTACACTCTGTGCCATGTAGAAGCAAAAACATCTTCAAATTAGATGGAATTGTTTTTAAATCCAGTGTGTTCACTCATTTAAACATTTAGGAAATACTTATTGAGGACCTACTATGTACCAGCACCCCCACTTATTAATGACATAGCATGGAAAAATTGCTTAATATTACAAGACTTATTTTCTTCAATTGCAAAACAGATATAATAGTACTTAAGGCATATGATTGTCTGGTTAAAATCAAAGAAGATACTATGTGATAATTACAACTGTTTTAATGCATTTACTCTGTCCTATAGGGTCACTAGAGCCCTGATGGGACATTGGTTAAGAGCTTGGCTGCTCACCAAAACATCAGCAGTTCGAGTCCACCAGCTGCTCCTTGGAAACCCAATGGGGCAGTTCTATTCTCTTCTATAGGGTCTCTATGAGTTGGAATCAACTCAGTGGCTAAGGGTTTGTTTTTTTTTTTTGGTTTATACATAAAACTAAGGAACCCTGGTGCTGCAGTGGTTAAAGCGCTCAGCTGCTAACCAAATGGTCAGTGGTTCAAACCTGTTGCCTGATTAAGGTCCGTGTCCTGGAGCAGTTGAGCCAATGAAACGTACTGCAAGTCAGAAAGAGTGAGAAAGTTTATTTAGTTGGTATCCACCACCGGGGATCCGACAGCAACGTCTCTATGAAGGCCCAAAAGACATTTTTACATTAGAGCTTATATACGAATTTTACAAAGGTTAGAAGTGTCTTTGTAGCCCGCAGATGACATGGCTGGATGAGTTATTCATTACAAGGAAATTACAAGAGACTCTTTTTCATACTAAAGAGATACATGCCAGATATCTCCTTATCAGGCTAAAGATATACATGTCAGATCTCTGGGCGCTAATCTTCCACAAGTGGCCGGACCGAGAAAAACAAAGTCATTAACAAAGGTATGTGAAAGGAGAAGGCAAAGAAAAAAAAAACTTATACATTCATCATGGTATTAGTTATGTCAAGCTCTCAGTCGCCCATTTTGAAAAGGAGAGAACATGCTGGGGAGTATTAGGGTCACAAACCCACCAGTCTCTCCGCGGGAGACAGATGTGGCAGTCTGCTTCTGTAAAGATTTACAGTCTTGGAAACCCTGTGGGGCGGTTCTCCTCTGTCCAGTAGGGTCGCTATGAGTCAGAATCTACCTGACAGCAATGGGTTTGGTTTGGTTTTTGGGTTATATATAAAACTATATTAGGCATTCTACACACACTAGCACAATACCTGGTTCATGGTAGCTACTCAGCAATGCTAATTAACTTTCTTCATCTTTCTACGAGCCCTCTGAACAAATCACTCACAAGACATTGGCACTGTTCCTCTCTGATTTTCAGAAAAGCTTATGCTGCTCTGCTTCCTTGAAATAAAAATCTAATTCACTATTAGCATGGGAGGTGAAAAGCTTATCAGGAAGATATAAATTTGTTATAGTGCATGTATACCAGAAGAGTCAGATGGCTTCAAAGAAATATTTCTAACTCCTTTCTTTTCAGACTATTTATGAAATAGGTAGGCAATAGTGGTTTCTACCGTGAAGCTTGAAATTCATCAAAAAGAAAAGAAAAAGAAATGAGAAAAATATCTACCCTATCTTCTAGTTCATTTCCTTAGCACTCTTTGGTTTTTACCAAGCATGTCCTCAGGGTTAGCTTTTCCTGGCAGGCAATCCCTCTTTTCACACAATCAGATTATTTTAGAGATTTTCCCCTTAAGTTCCCATTGCTTCCCTATATTTTTCTACACGTCACTCTCTGCCAAAGAACAACTCAGAAACATTCCGTTGGAGTAGGGCTTGACAAACTACAGCCCAAGGGCCAAATCCAGCCTGTTACCCTGGTCCATGAGCTAAGAATGTTTTTTAGATTTTTAAATGGTTGGAAACAAATCCAAAGAATATTTCATGATGCATGAACATTATATGAAATTCATATTTCAGTATCCATAAATCAAGTTTTATTAGAAAACAGCTAGGCTTATTCATTTGTATATAGTTTATGGTTGCTTTTGTCAACAACAGCAGTGTTGAGTAGTTGCAACAGAGATCAGACAATCTGTAAAGTTCAAAGTATTTAGTATATAGACCTTCCCAGAACAAGTTTGCCGACCCCTGGGTTAGAGTACAGCTAAAATTTACTCATATATGAGGGGATCAAGCGTATATAGATTGTCTCACTGAGCAAAGACAAAAGAAAATTTTAAAAGCAAATATTGTACAATGTCTGTAGACCAGAGTCCTTTGGTATAATTCATTAGCTAAAATCTACCAAGAACGACAGTTTGCCCTAGAGCAGGTTGTTGGAGTTATTAAGGAAGGCAATTTCAGTTATTTGAGGGGTTTCCAAAAAATACTGCTATTTCAGGAGTGGAGGATAAGTGATGCATCTGTTTCTGTGTTACTGCTGGTGACCTGTCCTTGGCAGCTTGTTTAGGTCAGGTCTGCACCGTTTCTTCACTATTTCTCAATCCCCCTTCAATAAACCTCACCTGTCATAGGACCTGAGTTGACCATAGACTTCACTTTCTTTTTGATTTCGTATTATTAACTGCAAATCCACTTGGGATAATGGCTGCATAGTAACATATAAGCACCTAGATATCAGACAGAGAAGGAAGCCAAGAAATATATTATTAGAGTGCTCACTTCAGCACTGTATATACTAAAATTGGAATGATACAGAGAAGATTGGCATGGCCCCTGCACAAGTATGACATCATCAGAAACACTTGGAAACCAGTTTGTATGTAGTTTTCTATTCAGCCTAGACCTAACCAAAAGGATAAATCCCAGACATGATGGTGGTCAACGTTAGATACTCAAGTGCCCTTTCTCTATGTTAACAATGGTTTCATCTTTTCCTAAAGTGTTTCCCTGGGCACAACAAGGTGTTTTCATAATTGTGCAGACTTATCCTTGACTGGCCAATAAATAGTCAAGAGAAAATGTATTATCCAGTACTTTTTGCTGGTCAGTTGGGCCTCTAAACTTGAGCTGGTTTGTTTATTTTCTGGGCCTTAGTCAACCTTAATTTGTGGATCCCACATTCTAGTTTGGGAAGTTCTAAACAAGGTATAAATCATTATATATACTGGTGATATCCACTGTCTCAAATGCATACTGGTAAGTTATTGTTAGGTGCAATAGGTAAGCACTTGGCTGCTAACTGAAAGGCTGGCGGTTCAAAATCACCCAGCAGCTCCACAGGAGAAAGAGGTGGTGATCTGCTTCTGTAAAGGTTATAGCCTAGCAAATCCTATGGGGCAGTCCTATTCTGTCACATGGGGTCGCTATGGGTTGAAATCAACTCGACTGGCACCTGACAACAATTGAGGAGGGGGGAGTTGCTTTTGAATACACAAGAAAGCAAGAAGGTGATTTCAAAAAAATAGGTCATGTTTTGATGTGGTAAGTGCAGGAGGGCTATCTGAACACAAACGCACACTCCTGAGAGTGCATTTTGAAAGGATACCAATGTGTTGTTTATGATAAGCAGTTGGTATCAATTACTCTATGGCCTTAATAGATTTGACTGTGGTAAAGGACAAGCAAATTGGTGAAATTAAGCAGATCATGGAATGATTTGTGCATAGATTCATGACAAATAATTGGACCATAGTTTGCATCATTAAACTCATGTCCATTTCTATCCCTGTCCTCTGAATTTCCTTGAGACTCTGGAAGATATTAATAACATCAGGTAATTATGTGGTTAATCATTTT